TGTATGTGCAATGATAGAAATCATCCCAAGATTCGCTCTTTGGTTCATTATTGTTTTGATCTTCGTTTTCAAAGAGCTCGGGTTGAACAGATTAATCTGCACATGAGTTTTAGAGGATTCACAGGTGAATCTTGTGAAGAGGAAAACAAAATAAATGACTGTAATGTAGTGTGATGAGTGAGGTAATAAGGCCTGTGGATGAAGAAGTAATTGTGTTTGGGACATTGAGATAAAAGGATATTTGTTTGAAAGGCCTCAATGAGAAAGAGAACCATCTGGAGGTAGAAGAGGTCATCTCAGGCACAGGTAGTGGAAGATGAGAGAAGCCGCGGTGTGAGTGCCCACCGCGGGGTTTCGGTTGTGGCTAATGGTCCTGTGTGGCCAGAGTTCATGGGGAAAACAAGATGCCCAAATTAAGGCCTGCACAGCTGCTAGTGAGAGTCTATGATGTGTTGCTTTGTCACCTGAATTCTTGGCACTTTCAGTGGTAGAAAATCTTTGTGGAAAAAAAGTTGCTCAGGAAATGTTACTCTTACACATGGCTGGTTACAGTGGAAGTTGGTACAACTCTGGAGAGCAATCTGGCAGTATTTCTCACAGTTAAATTAAATATACCTTTTAACTCAGAAGTTTCAATTCCTGGAATTTAGCTATTATACTTGTGTATGTACAAAATGACATATATAGAGATATGAAAGGATATTCGTATAGTATGACTTATAATAGCAAAAACTTAGAAACATCCTAATTTCATTAATAGTGATTAAGTAAATTAGGACATGTGTAAAATGGAATACTGAGTTGCCTTAAAAAATGAATTGTTATATATCTACAGATAAAGCACAAATCACCAAAATATATTAAATGACAAAACCAAGGTGTATATTTTTATGCACACATGTTTTCAGTATGTATAGAGCATCCCTGAAAGCATAGACAAGAGGCTGCTGTCTGCCTCTGGGCAGGGAAACTGGGTGCACCAGGGAGGGAGCGGCAGGGAGAATTTCTTTTCTCTGCATACTCTTGTGGGTTTGGAAGTGTATTATGTGTTATATAATTTCCTATAAAGCAAGTTTTTGAACAGTTGGTATTTTGTTTTTGTCCCTTCCCTTTGCCCCTCCGCCTGGGCCGGTGGAGCAGCCTGTTCAGGAAGTACAAAGCACGTTCTCATCATGGACGAGGTGGACGGCATGGCAGGCAGTGAGGACAGGGGCGGAATTCAGGTGATGAAAGCGCCTTATTTTTGCAGTTTTACTGTGGGTTTTTAGATTTTTAAGACATTATCATGCACTGATACGGCAATTAAGGCATGTTGCTGAGGAAGTTTTGTTTTATGTTTTAGTAGCATCTCAAGTGTTCTGTAGCTGAGGAAGTTTTTAAAAGCTAAAATACATTGTGTGGTATTTGTCATTTTTTAAATAATTATTTTTGTGTTGCAAATTTGCCTTTCAGGAATTAATTGGCCTGATAAAACATACCAAAATTCCCATTATTTGTATGTGCAATGATAGAAATCATCCCAAGATTCGCTCTTTGGTTCATTATTGTTTTGATCTTCGTTTTCAAAGA